AGAAAACGACGAGCCGGCAGCGGCGAGCAGTGATCGAAATTTGGAACTGATGTATTTTCTTCCTCTCTTTCTTTCATTTGTTTTTGTTTGCCTTTTTTCCTTTTCCTTCTCTGCTTTGTTTTTCCATTTTTTTCACTTTTTTATATTGAGTTTGATCTGATACAACCTCAGTTCTCTATGTTTGTTGCTGCTCCCATTCCTTTTTCTTCTTCTTCTCACGTGAACTATTAACTGTTAAGATGCTATTGGGTGTTTAACTATAAAGCAATGTTTTTGAATGTTTGACTGTTAATGATTTGAGGTAGTAAGCTAGTAAACTGATTTTTAATTAATAATAGGCAATTATTAAAGTTTGGTTTTTGGACTATTTTGAATTAACAATAGGCTAATGATTAAAGTTTGTTCAGACTTTGTGTTGAGTCGGTTGACTGCTAAGATGGTTGATCACTTGATTGTTTGATGTGCGATCTTTCTCAATTAATTATTTCTACTTTCTAGTATATATTTTATTTATCTTGAGTCCTTGGTATTTTCTATGTGAAATTTCACAAATATATATTTTTTCATTCATCTTGTATATCTTCAAAATTTTTGTGGTATGGAGTGCACTTTGCTTCGCTCGAGCGCGTGCATCGCATTGCGCCTTGCGCATGTGCGTGTAAACTGACTTTGCGCCCCGCATTGCGCCTCGCGCATTGAAACAATGATCGGTGGTGGTCTTGTTGTATTGCCAAACTCTTATTCAAGGACATTGTGCAAGTTAATCTCGTTAAGGATGTGTCCTTGAGCTCTTTTTGCTTATTAGCAATTAGTGAATCTGTTAGATAGATACAGAATCTGCAATAGTCATAAGCAAAGGTGATCCCATCTTTGAACTTTGGACCATGCATCAGTTGGATCTACAGCTAATGTTGAAATTCTAAATAATCCTTTCAGGAACATGACCTTGTGTTCCTTAATTTCCTTGTTTAGAGCTGTTCAAGAGATTATTACATTTAAAAATGACATCTTGCTGTATTTGCTTTGGTATTATTTTTATTTTTATTTAATTTTTTTGGTGAAAAAATGTTGACATGTTAATTAAAGGGTAGTCTATTGTACTGAAGAGCCATTCACAAAAGTCTTCATGGTTTTAGGGACGGGTTCCACTAACGTCTTTTAAGTCAACTTGGTTCACATCCATCTGCATTGTAGTTTATTTGGCTAATCTCTTCTAAGGTGTAACTTTGCAAAAATTTGAATTTGTTGGTCCTAAATTCATTTGCTGATACTATCTTCTTGGCTCTGCAGGGAATACAGGTGATCGAATAGCCTTTCTGGTTGTGCGTCCATCGCCAGCGTCTGGATTTCTAATCGAGATGTCTTCCATCTTTCATGTGGTATCCATGGAGAATTTGTCCTCTTAACTGATTTCTCAAGGGCTTTTATTGTGCTCTGTATAGCAGTAGTTAATACGATAAAGTATTGATGTATTCCACCTCAATCCTTCCCTAAGTATTAATTCTTTGCTCTTTAACTTCATGTATATTGACAGTGGAACATGGTGTATTTCACGAATGTTATGCTCTATTAATATTGTTGGGTTGGGAAAGTTCTGAGGCTTGCGCATTCAAAGTTCTGAGGATTGCATGTTGCAGAATTTATACTAGAGTGGCTGTTTAAGATATCATTTGAGTATACCTGACTCATTGCTTGTACTACTCTTGAAAGCAATTGTACTGTTGTCGAACATAACTTTTAGCTGCACGGTCTCATGCTGAAAGTTCTGAAAGAAAATGTTTGATAGATGAGCAAGTTGAGCTTTCGCCAGTCGTATATGTTCACTTCTCATGAGTTCTGCTGCAGGGGAGAAATGGGTCATACGTATTATGCCTTCTTGTGGTAAAAAGATGGGGGAGCCTTCTGATAAGTGACCGAAGTTGAAGGTCTTTCATGATAATTACCCTATCTTTTACTTGATTAAAGAAGGTTATCTACAATATATATGTTTGAAATTAATCCCATCTTCGCAGATAAATATCGAATCACGAATCAAACAACAAGAAGGTGAAAAGTGCTCGACGATTCCGGATTACTTCATTAACAATGCATCGAGGAGAGAATAATTTTTGAATCAATGCTCTATTTTCAAGTCAAACTTGTATGCACCAGATCTAATATAAATAATCTCTAGCTCGGTGTAACATCAATGCAATAGATCAAAATCATATATCAAAACCAAATTTTCTGTGAAGTTTCCGTTTTATTTATTTATTTTAATCATAGGACAGTTTTTTCTCATGTATGCTAATGTAGAAAATCATGACCTAGATGCTTCTCCGTCGGGTGCATCCGCAGTAAATTAGAGGTTGTTCCTATTGATGATAAAATGAGAGAAAATAGATTAAGATGGTTTGGTCATGTACAACGGAGACCCCCTAGTGCACCGATTAAGAAAAACGATAATGTTAGAGTTGATAAGGCTAGGAGATCTAGAGGTAGACCTAGACTGACTTGGTTAGAAGCAATTAAGAATGATACGATTAGGACTAGCTTACCGGAGGAGATGACCATAACAGAAATTGAATGGAAAATTAGGATGCTTCTTCACTAACATTTGGGATAAATGTTTGGTTGTTGTAAAAATTTTGCTAATTAAATAAAATTGCTAATTAAAATTTAAAAATGGTTTATTTCAAAAATTTCTCCTTTCCTATTGTAACATGTCCATGCAGGTTGAGATCTCCTTTTAGTAGCAAAATCCTAGACTCACATCGCGGTATCAATCTTCTAAAATCGGCTTTAAATTTGTGTCCAACAAGATTAGAATCTGTGTTGCCGTAATACCATCTTAAAGTCCCTGCCACTGCAAAAAAACTCTAAAATTATGGTGAGAGATAAGGGTTAATAGTTTTATATTCTAACATGTCTTTGTGGAGAAATTTGGAAAATTCCAGTTTTTTTGCAGATTCTGTGTTATAAGTCGACTCATGCACAGGCATAAGTCGACTTACGTTCTGCTCTGGAATTGTTGGTTTTTGGCTCTGGCAAGTCGACTTATACAGACTGTTAAGTCGACTTACGATCTGTTCTCCAGTTGCTGTTTTTCTCTCTGCCAAGTCGACTTATGGCCGCTGTTAAGTCGACTTACGACGGGTTTTTTGCACAGTTAGAGTTCCTATTTGGATTCTGTTTGGGTTTGGTGTTTTCTATAAATACCAACATACGAATTAGGGTTTCTTTGGCTTTGATTGGAGATTGGTTTGGGGATATCGGAGCACAGAAAAAGGAGAGTTTTTCTAAGCAATTGTTTGAGGGTTTATTTGGAGAGATTAAGAGATTTGTTGGTGAGATTAGTTGATTGGTTTGAGCGTTTTGTAATCTCAGTTTGTTTTTTAGTTTGGATCTATTCTTCGTTTATTCCGCATTGGTTTGTTGGCGCTTGGGCTATTTGGAGGAGTAGATCGCTTTGGAGGCTCTTCGAGGGCTTCGTTTGGAGATAAAGGTGAGATTTTTCCTATTTGTGGATCTCGTTGCCGTCGTGCGGGGTGAGATCGTTTGGAGACTCTTGTTAGGGTTTCATTTGGAGGTAAAATTCTCTCCTTTATCAGTTTGGATCTATTCTTCATTTGTTGGTGCTTTGAGATAGTTGGCCGAGATAGAAGGATTTGAGGCTGGGTTATTTGTTTATTGATACGGTGCATTGGATTATTGAGAAGTGCCATTGACCTGTATATTGAAGTCCTTTTGAGCACGTTGGTATGAGCAAGGAGACCGAGGTGGAGTTTGGCACTTCTATTTGATGATTGAGGGGTCTTCTATTTGGTGTTCAGTCAGGCATTTGGGGGCTTTCCAAAGAGGCATCATTGGAAGATAAATTAGTATTTTAGTTTCCTATGTTGGGGATTGTACTAGGCATTTGAGGGTTGCAACCAAGTCCCGTTGGTTTTAAAGTCCTAATAGTCAACAACAGTTGAAGAAGTACATTGGCAGTAAGGTGAAGGTACTTTATTCTGGTTGTAGAGGGGGGTACAAGAGGGACCTACTGTATTTGTGCCGAGCTCACGGCAATTTGAAACACTTCATTGGATAGGAAACATTGAGGCGACGAGATGAGATGACAGTTTCGATGGGTCGTTCCTTTCTGGAGGAGGATCGGCGTTGGTTGTCGAGCATTGGTTCTGGAGCTTCGATATATTTGGGTCATCTTAGTCACAGGTCGCCAACTGCTGCATTAGGAGTTATTGGATCTGGTGGAGCTGTTTCAGATTTTGGGTTGCATCAGATATTTGGATGCCCAGCATTTGGTCACATCGAGGATGTGAGATTTGATCCGATTGCGCGTTTGGGGTTCGAAGGCTCAGTTGATTATCGTTTAGGAGCTTCTGATTTTGTTCTGAGCAGGTAAGTCACTTTTGACTCTCGGCAGGTGGAGAGTGTTGATCAGGTCGTTTGGATATCGCAGCAGGTGGAGAGTGATGCTACTCCACGTTAGGTGGAGATTACTCCACGTACTCCAGGTCATTCTGCATTATTGGAGATTCCAACTGAGGTGACACAGCGTGTGAGTCATTTGGATTTGGATGCGGATGACGAGTTGATAGATTCGAGTGCAGCTGGTAGATATAGTTTGGATATGGCCATTGGTTTACCTCAGATGGATGTGTTTGGATTGAGTCAGTTCGGGGTCATTGGAGGTGCTATCAGTCGCAGATTTGGTGATGAAGGGTTGTGTACTCTTCTATTGGATTGAGGGCCTTTGGAGGCCGTTGGGTGAACTACGTGAAGGCTTGATTCTTTGGGCAAGAGGATACGTAGGCAGTCTTTATGATGCAGCCGTTTTGGTGAGCGACATCGATATTTAAGGTGAGTGTTTGCACTCCCATTTGGGTCTCAACACGTGAGGCATTTAGTGTAGTTGGTGTAGGCTCAGTTCGATTTGGTGAGCGACATTGACATTTGGGGTGAGTGTTTGCACTCCCATTTGGGTCTCAACACGTGAGGGCGATTTGGTGAGCGACATTGACATTTGGGGTGAGTGTTTGCACTCCCATTTGGGTCTCAACACGTGAGGCATTTGGTGTAGTCGGTGTTTGGGTCTCAACACGTGAGGCATTTGGTGTAGTCGGTGTAGGCTCAGTTCGTTTTGGTGAGCGACATCGATATTTGGGGTGAGTGTTTGCACTCCCATTTGGGTCTCGACTTGTTGTGGGTGGAGTCCGTTGCTATGGCGTACTGGACGCAATAAGTGAGGCATTTGTTTGGTTGGTGTCGGCTCAGTTTTGGGAAAACTTCGCCGAGGTGGAGAATTGTGGAGAAATTTGGAAAATTCTAGTTTTTTGCAGATTCTGTGTCATAAGTCGACTCATGCACAGGCATAAGTCGACTTATGGTAAGCCGACTATAAGTCGCTGTGTCATAAGTCGACTCATGCACAGGCATAAGTCGACTTATGGTAAGCCGACTATAAGTCGACTTACCATAAGTCGACTTACGTTCTGCTCTAGAATTGTTGGTTTTTGGCTCTGGCAAGTCGACTTATACAGACTGTTAAGTCGACTTACGATCTGTTCTCCAGTTGTTGTTTTTCTCTCTGCCAAGTCGACTTATGGCCGCTGTTAAGTCGACTTACGACGGGTTTTTTGCACAGTTAGAGTTCCTATTTGGATTCTGTTTGGGTTTGGTGTTTTCTATAAATACCAACATACGAATTAGGGTTTCTTTGGCTTTGATTGGAGATTGGTTTGGGGATATCGGAGCACAGAAAAAGGAGAGTTTTTCTAAGCAATTGTTTGAGGGTTTATTTGGAGAGATTAAGAGATTTATTGGTGAGATTAGTTGATTGGTTTGAGCGTTTTGTAATCTTAGTTTGTACTCTTATTCTCTATTAGTGAAAACTCAATCCCCTTCTTGCCCCGTGGACGTAGGCAATTTGCCGAACCACATAAAACTATTGTGTTTGGATTTGTGCCGTTGTTTTGATTTGTTTGGCCTTTATCTCGACGATTGTTATATTTGGTTCTCGAAGCACGCCAGTTTGGTTGTCACGCTTCCGCGCCGCGCACAACAGTCTTAACTTAATTCTCTTAGCTGTCTATATCAATGACATGATTAAATGACTTCATGAAAAGTTAACTTCCATTTATAAAATAAAGTCAATTTTTATTTTGCATCATATGTATCTTCACCATTGTAATTCATAATAGTATTCTACAATTAGTACAGACAAGGAACTTTTTTTTTATACTGTCTGTATATTTTTCAAAACTCAATGGACAATTCTCTTAGCTCTTTTTGCCCACACAATGTCTAGAAGGCTTCATGAAGAGCTGACTTTTGTTTATGCAATTAAATTGACATTTATTTTTTGCATCATTATCTTTCTCATTCTGTCATTTCATAGTATAAATTTCACTTGATACATAGGTAAGGAACTATCTACTTTTGCACTGTCGTCTTTTCAATTAATCTCCTTCAAATAAGTATATTAGCACCAATCAAGGTTATTATTTCAACTGTGCAGTTGGTGGGGTCTTATTAAGCAATCATGGGGAATGCTTCATAGCTGGGCCTGTTTGGATTTGTAGGGGGTGAAGGGAAGTTAAGGGAAACTGAGAGAAGGGAAGGGAAGGGAAGGGAAGGGAAGGGAGTTCCTTTCCCCTTGGTTACACCCAAACTTGGGGGGTAACAAATTTTATACTATTAGGGGGTGAACCAAGGGGAACTAGGGTGAATTAGCTTCACCTCCTAAGTGTTCCCAAACAAGGTGAATGGAAGTGAATCGTTCCCCTAACTTCCCTTCACCCTCATTCTCCTCAATCCAAACAAGCAATGTCGCCATATAAACCAATGTCTCATAGGGTCTGTCTAATAGGTAACTGGGTCCAGCTTGATTAGGTTAAATTGACAAGGTTTTGGATTAAAAGAAACAAACAGAAATGAGTGAGCGTAGTATAACAGGCAATGTCGCCATATAAACCAATGAGAATTTATAATGTCGCTTGTCGTCAATATTGTAAGTTGATATTTATTGTTTGGAATGGGCCCCCACAGACTCTTCCTCCAGGGCTGAAAAAAAGAGCAAGTTCAGATGTTCGATACTCTAGAGCCTTGTTTCCTTATGTTGGAAAATCTTACTGTTGATGCAGAATGTCTAATTTACCATGTTCTAATTTTAACCCTTTCAGTATCTATCATCTTCGTTATTCACATAAGATTCATTACAGCTATTCAGATTGATGTGAAACCAAAGAGCCAATTAAACTAGCATCTTCAGTATGTATTATGAAACCAAAGAGCCAAATGAAACTAGCATCTTCAGGATGTATTAATCTTTTGGTAAATTTGTTGGTTTAACTGTACTGTATCAAATACATCACATTAAATGATTAACCTACTAACTTTTCTCTTTTCTTATCTTTCAACTGCCTTCGGTCACCATTTCCTTCTCTCTTTTGATGCAATTAATATTTCCCCAAATTCAGTATAGTAGTTCTTTCAACAGTTAAGAGAAGTTTCTGTGTGTATTTGGACTTAACATGTGGTATCATCATATCTTAAGTTATTCTGTCAATATATTTCAGGGTCATGGTCTTCAGTTTTCCATCAAAGGTTTGCAGGTAGCTGAGAATCCATGGAATAACATTTCTTGTCAAGGCATCCAGGTACTCAATTGGAGACAGTTCTTGTCTTATAATGCGTAATTAGTATCATTTGAAATTGAAAATAATATATTGGCCTTAATTTAATATCCTGTATTTTAATGTTTTTTATGGTTCCGCGATTTTATGATTTTTTTTTTGAACAATAATGGTTCTCTATTAGTTCCTGATGCATACTTCTTTATTCTTCTTTTCATAATGGTTCCTAGATCTGCATAGCTTTATTATTAAAATTGCGGAGGTTGTCCTCAGGTTCTATATTTCTTGTACGAAAATATCGAGACGAAAAAGTCTTATGTACAGCCGTCCAGGTCTATGGTCGGAAATGTTATTTAAAATACCCTAATGACACCCTAATGATATTGTTTATTGACATACTATCTAACGTTGAGCCCATTTGTCGGCATTTCCTTTAGATGGACCTACACTGTAACTTAATATAAAGACTGCTTTACCTGGTCTTATACAGACTGTAAGAAGTGGAAGGAGATGATTGTGTTTTTGTACAAGGCAATTCCATTGCCACTCGTTTGATTCTTCTCATAAAACTTCATATATGCTCCCATTGATGTGTTGTAATATAAATGTAAGTGGACTTCACTTTCATGCCAGCATTAGTGGGGTTACTAGAGAACACAGATACTATAGAATTTCCATCTTAGCGTATAAAAGACAAGAATCAATATATTTTCAAATACAAATTTACACATGCCTATGTTTCTGCTTGAACTGAGTTCTGTTGTTGCATTTCTTGATTTCATTTGTATATTTTCTGTCGTAGCCCCTCCTCGAAGAACCTGTGCTTTTGCCTGACAAACCTGGGGATTCTAAACGAGCTAATATACAAGTCTTCATCAAGTAAGTTTTGCTCTGCCATTCAATCAAATACCACTTTATCATCGTCGATATCGAGTCTTCTACAATCCATAGACGAAGTTTGGCTACTTTAAATGGTATGTTGAACCAGTAGGATCTTTGATAATAACTGGGTTTCACTTTTCTGTGCTAAAATGAATTCAGTGAGCTTACTGGTTTTGCTCTGGATGTAAGCTACCTAACAACGCATAACAATTCACAAAAGCACTTATATACAATAATCATCATTTAACAACTATTTATCAATGTTGAAAAATGTATTTGTCATTAATCATTCAACTGAGAACTGTTTATGACTGTTTATACTTTACAGTAATTTGCATGACAGTATTATTGTAATATTATCAATTGCTATTTGGATACAAGAATCATATTCTAGTCAATTACACCTTAAGTTCCTAGCAATGTCTGATTCTGTGACTGTCAAGATATTACTTCCTACTAGGTCAAAAACCCATCTACACCATGATAGTAAAGCAAACGAAATTTGGCGTATGAACTTCAATCAGGAATGTTATAATCTATATTCAGTAAATTTGATCTCAATAGCACTTAGACGGATGGAAAATATGTTTAATTTGGATTTTTTTTTAAAGATTTCAACCAGACAGAACATGATAGATAGAGAGGAGAAGACCTAAATGCCACTGGATTTGGTTTTGGACATTAGATGTGGGCTTAGGATCTTTCTTGGATCCAATCGGATCCTGACCCCTTTATACCGTTGTATCTATGCGTGGTATAATAAACTTAGTTTATGGGTCATGTCTTAATAGTTAATAGTGATAACAAATATTATGTGCCTCAACTTTTCTTATTATGTGAATAATGAGTTTGTTATTGTTTGATTGTTTTTGCCTGTTCTTGTGCTTGATTACCTTCTTGCAACTGAATTGATGTCTGATTAATGGTCACAAATAAAAGTTTGTTCAATTCGGTTTGTGGTGCCTCCTTCATTTCTATTTGGTGCATTAAAAGAATTGTATTTGATCGTTGTTGTAAATGGTGTTAAACCCACAAGGGTATTTAAAAATAACATTGAGGTATGTTCAAGGGTGTCCTTAACTGTAAAAGGATAATGCAAGAAGTATCTTCTTAGGCACGTGTCTACCATAACTTCATGATCTGCTGACATACCTTTTACTCTTTATGGAAGTGCTATTATCTGATTGCATACCTGATCCACACATCGATCTTATACTAATCAGGTAAACTAACCACTATAGGTTCTCACAAGCAAAAGGTACCACTGATTTAAGTTCTAATGACATTACATCTGAAAATAGACATTTCTGCCTTCTGAAATCAATTATATGTTCTCAAAAATGCGGATTTCACATTCTCCATCAAGAAATGAAAAACCTATTTATGCATCTATTACTGAAAATGTGAAGACACTATTTCAACTATTATATCATCTATTTGGAGCCATTATCCATACTTGCCCATTTGTTGATTCACCTGTACTGTTATCAGTCATAAATGTACTTCTATTCTATTTGCTTATCTTGGGTGATTTGTTTTATTTCTTAGCAGTTTTGGTTCAAGAAGTTCAAATTAATTTGTCTTATATGTTGTACTCTGCAATCGCTAGCTTTGATCAATCTTATAATGGAGGAGGCAATATAACATGCAAAGGAAATCTTGGAGGAAATGAGTTTTTCACAACAAGGATCTTCCAAGGACAACTCCCTTTGAGAGATCTACCTGTGACGTTCACATATTCCGTAAGTAACCATGTTCATGATCTGCCCATCTATATTTTGCAATAATACTGAATTTATTTAGAATTTTGGTTGAATTGTCGAAATATTCTTATCATGATTAGTACATAGGCTACTCTTTCTTCAATATCCATATTAGGAGTTTCACTTCCTTTTATGTGAGTATTAATTCTAAATCTTCTCTTAGCTACATGATAAATTCTTTATTCGGTCAATGTACAGAGCGAGATGACAGAAGTTTAGTCCATTCCAAATTAGATGAAGCAGGGTCATGAGATCTTTTTAAGCATGCCAAAATTCAGTACTAATTTAAAACACCCCCCCCCAAAAAAAAAAAAAAACAAAAACAAAAACAAAAACAAAAACAAAAACAAAAACAAAAACAAAAACAAAAACAAAAACAAAAACAAAAACAAAAACAAAAACAAAAACAAAAACAAAAACAAAAACAAAAACAAAAACAAAAAAAAAGCCCCACACCGAAAAAATAATAATAATAAAACCATTTGACCCTCAGCTGACATGATATAACCGTAGGCCATATGTGCTAAATCTGTTCATGATATTTAAAGTGCAAATACTCCATTTTCTTTCACCTGTTCCTTGAACCTTTGGCTTATTCTTCATATCATTCCATATAGGTAAAATCGAATGGTAATTCTCAGATGAGCCTGCTACTCCAATCAACTTCTGAGAGCGATGACAAACAGGCTTCCATGCATAGTTTTCGTCAATTCTGATGATGTCCCCTTCCTAGACAAGTTAAAACCAATATGGACCAGTGATTTGTGTAACGGGGGAGAAAACAAAGAGAGAGAACCTAATGGGTGCACCTTGGATCTTACATGAGTCTAGTATAGCGATGAATGATTCTACAATAACCAATATGTATCTCTGTGGCTACATGAAGAAGCAAGACCAAGAGGAACCAAAATTAGATGACAGCTCTGACTATTTTGCATCTCTTGGTCATATCAGCATAAAAAATTCCTCAGAAGGCACAAAATTCCCGTCAGCTGACTCGTGGAGTACTCACGTAGAGGATGTGACATGGATCTTGCCGCACGCCTATGCGGAAGCGTTGCACGCACACACAATGAACTTGTGATCACCGAAGAAGAAAGCCACACTCTTGCACAAATCAAGCCAATTACAACAAATCAAACCAAACACAGAGATATACGTGGTTCGGCAATTTGCCTACGTCCACGGGGAGAGGATGGGGAGATTTCACTAATTCAAGGAGAGTACAAAGGGTTACAATCACACAAAACTCTCAAACTAACCCTCAACCAAAGATCTCACCTTGCTCACAATATCTCCCTCTCACAATGCTCAAAAGATTCCTCAATCTCTGATTCAAAACCCTAACAAATCGTTTCCCTATTTATATCAAAACAAAAACCCAATCAGACTGCAAACAGGAAACCTGATTATGCAAAATACCCGTCGTAAGTCGACTTAACAGACAGCATAAGTCGACTTGGCAGAGAGAAAAACAGCAACTGGAGCACACTTCGTAAGTCGACTTATCAAACCTGATAAGTCGACTTGGCAGAGAAAAAATTCACAATTCCAGCGCAGATCGTAAGTCGACTTGTGCACACTGTCAAGTCGACTTACCATAAGTCGACTTACCCTTGTGCATGAGTCGACTTATGCCAGAAAATCTGGTTTTTCTGATTTCTCCACAGATCTATGATCCAGATGGTACTAAAAAGGCGACCCTCACCCTTATTTGGGAGCTAAAAGAAGAGAATGCCAAGTCAGTATTTACAAAGTATAACATCTACGTTCAGAAACTTGACGATCAAGATGGCAAGAAGAAATTTCTTAGGGTTGCTAGAGTTGAACGTTTCTATGTATCAGATCTCGAAGTTCCTATTGGCGGTATAGGAGTAAAGTTCGTTGTTCAGCCTTGTGGACCTGATGGTGCTTGCCAAGAAGTAGTTGATCAGCGTCCTGCACAAGTTTTGGCTCAGTAGAAACATTGTTGGTTCCTGTATTAATATTTTGCGTAATAAACTGTGGTTTTTAGTAAAGAATAAGGGGTAGTAACCCAAAATAAATGTGCGCTTGTGTATTGATATGTAGTCCTTATTATTGGATGTTGTATTTGGTATCATTGAAGTATTTATAAATAAAATGCCTGGAAGGCTGTAGCATTGCTTTACGTTTACAATAAGTTGTTGGTCCTGAAAAATACTATCATATTAGTGTAATAATAATTGTTTTATTAATATGCTTGATTTGTGGTATAATTTAGAGTGACTGCAAAGTGCTGTTATAATAATAATGACGTACCATTCTATTGTCGATTATGTTTGTTATGTAATACATAGTGATGTCTGAAAGCCTTTTTTTTAACGATATTCGAGGGATTTGAAGTATTGATTGATTCTGGATGAGGATTCTTTATAATTGTTGGATTTATTACTGTGAATAAGATGAATGGTGATTTGATGATGTTGGTCTTTCTTTATGAGACAGCATAAAATGTAAAGCAGACATTGAGAGTGCATCTAGTGTTGCTTATGAAAATTGTGGTCTCGAATTCAAAAGTAATGTTTAGCTTATGAAAATTATGCTCTCAAATTCAAAGGATGTTTATTTAGCAAATTACTTGCTTTTGGTTATTAACATTATCAACTTCGTGTTGGATTTAATCTAATAAATCTATTTGTGGGCACATATGATTAATCAATGTGTATTGCTATCTTTCAGGATAACCCACTAAAGTGATCAATTAAGTTGGGTTAATTTGGTATTTAAATAAGTCATGGGGTTATATGTGCAGATACCAGGTTGTAATTGTAATTTATTGAGGGGCTAAATTACAAAAGTACAACATCTATAAATAAGGGGTTATGGTCCCTAACCTAGGGTTACAATCTCTAATTCTCTACACCCCCATCTAGCTAGAGAAATTCGGCTAAAAGAGAAAACCCTAAGGTTAGAAGATCCAAAACCCAAAATCAAGATCAATCTATGGATTCAGGTATAAGCTTCCGCTCTCTTTAGATTTTGTTAATCTCTTTGAATTAATCATGGCTATATGGTTTTAGATCTCAAGTTTTATGATGTAGATCTAACAAGTGGTATCAGAGCCACCTTGATTAATTCTTAGGGATTTAAGTTTTATTGGGTTTTTGATCTTAAATCTCTGGTTAAAGATTCAATTTTTGGGTTCGGATGAACAGTAATGTTCTCGGATGAACAGTAACGAATTTTTTTTTCGGATGAACAGTAAAGTATTTTTTTCGGGTGAACAGTAACTTTTGGGAATTTTTTGGATTTTTCTTTGATTTTTCCTTCAATTTTTTCCAATTCTGGATCTGTTTTGAAAATAAAAATCAAAGGTTTTTTGGGTTTGTCGGCGGCGGTTTCAATTTGAAACCCTAAGGGTTCATGGCGAAAATTAAGGAGGTGGTTACCTCAAACGAACCTCGCGTTCGTTCAATTTTAACCGAGCTTCGCGCTCAACGAACCTCGCGTTCGTTCTAAGGTGAACCTCGCGTTCAACTCAGGTGAGCGTCAAGCTCAATTTTAACGAACCTCGCGTTCGTTCTAAGGTGAACCTCGCGTTCAACTCAGGTGAGCGTCAAGCTCAATTTTTTTAACGAACCTCGCGTTCGTTCTTCAGACGAACCTCGCGTTCGTACTTCAGACGAACCTCGCGTTCGTACTTCAGACGAACCTCGCGTTCGTACTTCAGACGAACCTCGCGTTCGTACTTCAGACGAACCTCGCGTTCGTACTTCAGACGAACCTCGCGTTCGTACTTCAGACGAACCTCGCGTTCGTACTTCAGACGAACCTCGCGTTCGTGCTTCAGTCGAGCCTCGCGTTCGAACTTCAGACGAACCTCGCGTTCGTACTTCAGACGAACCTCGCGTTCGTACTTCAGTCGAACCTCGCGTTCATTTTTTAAACGAACCTCGCGTTCGTTCCCAAGTTGAACCTCGCGTTCTTTTATCAAACGAACCTCGCGTTCGTTCATTTTCAGACGAACCTCGCGTTCGTGCTTAAGTGAGTCTCGTACTCAATACAGTCGAACCTCGCGTTCGAAGTTAAGGGAACTTCGTGTTCATTATGGTTAAGCCTCGGCTTTTCATGGGTCCACTTTGGTATACTTAATTTATTCAATTAAGTTATGGGCCCTAATTAAGCTGTGAGACCCCAATTAAGTTTTTGGAAATTCAGTTGATTTAAATTAAAACTTTTTAATTTAAATCTAATTTGGTTTTTAATCAATTATTTAATTCAAATATTATGACACTAAGGTATTAAGGTTGTCTCTCACTCCAATTGATTAATTGAAACAAGAAGTTGCCAAAGTAACCTCTCTTGTGTAGATTGTTCATGAGGAATGTGAGATGTTTGTGTGTATGCTTTCGTGTAAATATTTAATCGGCCCAAAGGAAGGTTAATATTTATTTAGACTGTATACACATCTGCGATGATAAGCGTGTGACAATTATAAGGTTTACATGTGAATAATGAATCGATCCAAAGATAGTTTCATTATTTGACATGAGTTATTGTCAATGTTTGATCATTGCAACAAGGTATCACTTACAAGTTAATATTACTGTCCAAAGACTTGATATTAATGTTGTGCCGGTATCTTGGATGGGGATTGTCATTATTTGAATTTTATTGATTATGGTTATTGATGTGAGCATTTTTGTTTTATTTCAGCTAATGCATCTGCTGCAACAATTTCTGCTAACATCAACTCAATTCCCATGCTAAATGGGACAAACTTCAAGGTTTGGAAAGAGAACATATTAATTGTTCTTGGCTGCATGGATCTTGACTATGCATTAAGAACTGAACAACCCCAACCTCTCAATGCGGATAGCACTCCTGATGCAAAGAAGGAGCATGAGAAGTGGGAGCGTTCAAATCGCATGAGTCTTATGATCATTAAGCGCGGCGTTCCGGAAGCCTTCAGGGGCATAGAATCCGAAGGGATTACTAAGGCTAAAGATTTCCTTGCCGAAATTGAGAAGCGTTTTGCGAAAAACGATAAGGTAGAAACAAGCACGCTTTTAGCTCGCTTGATTTCAATGAAGTATAAGGGCAAAGGAAATATCAGGGAGTACATTATGGAAATGTCTCATATTGCTTCAAAGCTTAAGGCACTTAAACTCGATCTTTGTGACGAGTTATTAGTGCATCTGGTTTTGTTGTCTCTTCCTGCACAGTTTAACCAATTTAAGGTCAGTTATAACTGTCAAAAGGAGAAATGGACTCTAAATGAGCTCATTTCATACTGTGTGCAAGAAGAAGACAGGTTGAAGCAAGATAAGACAGAAAGTGCTCATTTGGCCTATGCCTCTAAGGATAAGGGCAAGAAAAGGAAGAATGATAAGGAAGCTGCTAAGGGTCCAGTTGAGAAGAAACAACATAAGGATAATCAGGGTTGTTTCTTCTGTAAGAAGCCTGGACATGTAAAGAAGGACTGTACAAAATATCACGCCTGGCGTGATAATAAGGGTACGTTCCTTGCTTTGGTCTGTTCTGAGGTTAATTTAGCTTCAGTACCTAGAAACACTTGGTGGTTAGACTCTGGTGCTACTACTCACATAAGTGTTTCTATGCAGGGTTGCCTGAGCTACCGAAAGCCAAGTGATGTTGAAAGACACATCTTTGTGGGCGACGGACAATCGGTAGATGTGGAAGCAATTGGGCACTTTAGGTTGTTGTTAGGAACTGGTTATTATTTGGATTTAAAAGATACTTTTGTAGTACCGTCTTTTAGACGGAATTTGGTTTCTGTTTCTGTATTGGACAAATCAGGTTATTCTTGTTCATTTGGAAACAGTCAATTCAGTTTATCTTTTAATTCAAATGTTGTGGGAACCGGTTACTTGAGTATTTATGACAACCTATATTTGCTTGATACAATTGCTTCTTACAATGAATCCTTGCATGTGGAATCACGTGGTACTAAGCGTAAATTAAATAAGGAAAATTCGGCGACATTATGGCATAAGCGCTTAGGTCATATCTCAAAAGGTAGAGTTGAGCGTCTTGTGTCTGATGGCATTTTGGATTCCCTTGATTTTTCGGACTTCGACGTATGTGTTGAATGTATCAAGGGAAAACAGACCAAAGTGAAGAGATTAGGTGCCAACAGATCTTCGGATGTCTTAGAATTGATACATACGGATATTTGTGGGCCATTCCCTACGGAATCCTGGAATGGTCAACAATATTTTATATCATTCATAGACGATTACTCACGTTATGGGCACCTATATCTTATTCATGAAAAATCTGAGTCTCTGGACATGTTCAAAGCCTATAAAGCTGAAGTTGAGAATCAACTCAACAGAAGAATTAAAACCGTCAGATCTGATCGTGGTGGTGAGTACTACGGTAGATATGATGGTTCAGGTGAACAACGTCCAGGACCATTTGCTAGATACCTAGAGGAATGCGGTATCGTCCCACAGTACACTATGCCGGGTTCACCTAGCATGAATGGTGTAGCTGAAAGACGAAACAGGACTCTTAAGGATATGGTAAGAAGTATGATTGCTCATTCTTCTTTACCAGAGTCACTCTGGGGAGAAGCACTTAAGACAGCAGCTTACATTCTGAATAGAGTACCAAGTAAAGCAGTTGCTAAAACACCTTATGAGCTTTGGACTGGTCGAAAGCCCAGTTTAAAGCATTTACATATTTGGGGATGTCCAGCTGAGGCAAGGCCTTATAGGCCAAATGAAAAGAAATTGGACTCCAAAACAGTTAGCAGCTACTTTATTGGGTACCCTGATCGCTCTAGGGGCTATAAGTTTTATGATCCCACTATAAGGAATATTTTTGAGACGGGAACAGCAACATTCTTTGAGGATGTTGAGTTTGGGGGGAGAAATAAGGTTAGAGACATTAGTTTTGAGGAGGAATTGGCTTCAGATCCAATCCATACAGTTACTTTTGACAATATTCAGGTTCCTATACCTGTTGTTGCTCAAGAAGTAAATCCGGAACCTCAAGATGATAATGTTGAACAACTCCCTGTTCCAGAAGAACAAACTCAACAACCTCAAGAACCAGTGCCATTAAGGAGATCCACGAGAGAAAGGAGAAATGCTATTCCGGATGATTATATTGTATTTCTCCAAGAACATGAGGAAAGTAGTGGAATGTTAGAAGATGATCCAATCAACTTCTCTCAGGCCATGAAAAGTTCTAACTCTCAACAGTGGATTGATGCCATGAATGAAGAGTACAAGTCTATGCAAGACAATAAGGTTTGGGAACTTGTCCCATTACCAGAAGGTGCAAAACCAATTGGTTGTAAATGGATTTTTAAAACCAAGCGGGATGCAAATGGTAATGTGGAGAGGTATAAGGCACGTCTTGTGGCTAAAGGCTATACTCAAAAGGAAGGCATTGATTATACAGAGACTTTCTCTCCGGTTTCATCGAAAGACTCTTTCAGAATAATCATGGCACTTGTTGCTCATTATGATCTTGAGTTACATCAGATGGATGTTAAGACTGCATTTCTCAATGGAGACATTGATGAGATGATCTATATGGTGCAACCAGAAAACTTTGTGTCGGGAGACCCAAAGAATATGGTCTGCAAATTAAGGAAATCCATCTATGGACTCAAGCAAGCTCCTCGTCAATGGTATCATAAGTTTCAACAAATAGTTATCTCGTTCGGTTTTGAGATGAACATTGTTGATGACTGTGTATATCACAAGTTCAGTGGGAGTAAGTATATTTTTCTGGTTCTGTATGTGGATGACATCTTGCTTGCCACTAATGATATAGGCATGTTGCACGAAACCAAGAGATTTCTATCAAAGAATTTTGAGATGAAAGATCTTGGGGACGCCTCTTTTATATTAGGGATCCAGATACATCGAGATCGCTCTCGGGGTATTCTTGGATTATCACAAAAGAGCTATATCGATAAGGTACTTAAAAGGTTTGGCATGCAAGATTGCAGACCAGGTGACACCCCTGTTGCTAAAGGAGACAAGTTTAGTCTCAATCAGTGCCCTAAAGGTAATCTTGAAATTCAGGAAATGCAGAAGATTCCTTATGCTTCGGCTGTAGGAAGTCTAATGTATGCTCAGGTATGTACGCGTCCGGATATTGCGTACATTGTTGGGATGTTAGGCAGATACTTAAGCAACCCTGGTATGGATCATTGGATAGCAGTCAAAAGGGTTATGAGGTATCTTCAGAAAACAAAAGATTACATGCTCACATACAGAAAATCAGAGAAATTAGAGGTCATTGGGTATTCGGACTCTGATTTTGCTGGATGCCAAGATAGCAGGAAGTCTACATCAGGCTACATTTATATGTTAGCAGGAGGAGCTACATCATGGAAAAGTGTCAAACAAACACTAGTAGCTTCCTCCACTATGGCAGCAGAATTTGTAGCTTGCTATGAGGCATCTAATCAGGGAATATGGCTGCGAAATTTTGTCACGGGACTACGCATTTTGGAAAATATTGAAAGACCACTAAGGATATATTGTGACAATAAATCTGCAGTAATGTATTCCAATAACAACATGAGCTCAACTAAGTCAAAACATATTGACATTAAGTTCCTGGTTGTGAAAGAAAGGGTACAGAGTGGACAGATATCCATAGAGCACATTGGGACAAACTCCATGATAGCTGATCCTCTTACTAAGGGATTACCACCTAAGGTCTTTCAGGAGCATACTGCTCATATGGGTGTGGTATTATTTGAGGATATTATGTTTTAGTGGGAGTTTGTATTTGTGGTGCTTTATGTTTGTTTGTATTGTCTGATCAGAATAAAGTTTTCAGTTAAGACACTCTGTTACATTATGTTTGGTTTTGACCTCACTAAGGAGGACCAGTTGAAAATAAACATGTACTGATCACATTGCATGTAATTTTCATGCTGCACATCCATGATTGATCTATGTCATTTGATTGTATTGGTATATGTGACCATTGATGGGTCGAGTCACGATAAATGTGACAAAGGCCGCTTTGATCCTATATTGATATAGTCAATGGACGAGATTGTTCGGAAATACCAATTCAGTGATAGCATTTTTTGAGCTCATAAGGTTATACACAATTTAAGGAATCATATGGTGCCCAAGTGGGAGATTGTTGGATTTAATCTAATAAATCTATTTGTGGGCACATATGATTAATCAATGTGTATTGCTATCTTTCAGGATAACCCACTAAAGTGATCAATTAAGTTGGGTTAATTTGGTATTTAAATAAGTCATGGGGTTATATGTGCAGATACCAGGTTGTAATTGTAATTTATTGAGGGGCTAAATTACAAAAGTACAACATCTATAAATAAGGGGTTATGGTCCCTAACCTAGGGTTACAATCTCTAATTCTCTACACCCCCATCTAGCTAGAGAAATTCGGCTAAAAGAGAAAACCCTAAGGTTAGAAGATCCAAAACCCAAAATCAAGATCAATCTATGGATTCAGGTATAAGCTTCCGCTCTCTTTAGATTTTGTTAATCTCTTTGAATTAATCATGGCTATATGGTTTTAGATCTCAAGTTTTATGATGTAGATCTATCACTTCGAGCTTTCATCAAAATCAAATGGCAAATATTATTGACGAGAGGATCCAAATCCAATAATGCCAACATCTAGCATGTATAAAAAATTGTCGAAGTAACATTTTAGAGCACAGAAATCACAACGATGTCTACATTCTTTTGAAGGAAAGTATACTCATTCCAAACATCAACGATTTAAATAGTGCTAAATGATTGGGGTTTGAAAGTGGCCAACACACTTATTTTATGCGTACTGCATTATGAACAATGATTCTCAGATTAGAACACAATAGACACATTGTAGTGAGCTACAAGCCATTTTATTTATTTCTTCGTATCCAATCTAAGCTTCAGCAACTATATTTAAAAAACATGAAAAGCTGAAAGATAAAAAAGGGGCATTTATATTTAAAAAACATGAAAACCTGAGAGATCAAAAAAGGGCTCACGAATAGCTAGATGCTGGTAGTATTTTGCCTTTTCCAAAATTTCATTTGCACAATGCGAAGCATAAAGGTCACTGCAAATCCCACTCCAAATCCCAAGCCGATTAATAGCGCAAGTACAATGATATAGGTTGATGGTGATGAATGGTCAGAGGCTGTAGGTTGCACTGCACTTGTCTGATTTGGGCTTCTGTTGTTGCATTGCTTTGATAAAGTATTTCCACACAGTCCATCGTTATCTAGGTAAGAAGCATTCGAAAATGTATAGAACTGATTACTTTGAGGAATTCTTCCTGTTAGATTGTTGCTAGAAAGGTTTAAAGAAGTTAAGAATGTGAGAGAAGTCAATTCTTGAGGAATCTGTCCAGACAAATGGTTTGCAGAAAGATCCAATCTTTCAAGTTGTCTCATGTTTCCAATTACCGAAGGAATCTCTCCTGTGAGAGAATTTTGTGATAAATTCAACATGAAAAGGCCTCCGAGATTACCGATCACCTTAGGAATATTACCATCAAAGTTGTTGTTTGAGAAATCCACAAACGTATATGATATCGCTAATATTCTCAGAAAGGTATATTCATACCCGTTAGTTGTGACTGAAACTTCATAGTTATAACCATCTTTATCAATTATGTCATCACTTAGATTCTTAGTGGAGAAACTCATCATGGACTTTAGATTGTTGAAACAATTTGAAGGCAAATTTTCACTTAAGTGATTGGAAGATAGATCAAATATCTACAATTTTAAAAATGTGTTATTTGCCTCAGGACTTTCTGTGACTTTGACTTGCCCACGAAGTGCATTTTCTCGAAGAACTAGGACAGAGATGTTAACCATTTGTCCCAACCAAGATGGAAAACCTCTAACAATCTGATTGTTCCCAAGGTCTAAAACCTTTAACGACCCACAATTGAGCAAAGTTTGAGAAATTGAACCTTTCAAACGATTGTCACTGAGGATCAATGACTCCAGCATGCATTCTTAACTAAAATGTTTAGGAATTTCCCCTTGAAGTTGGTTCCCTTTTAGATTCAAGTCAGTAAGAGATTTGATATCGAATAGACACGAAGGGATTGAACCACTCAAACTATTTCCAGACAAGTCGATGACTTCGAGATTTTGTGCTTCACAGATGGGTGCTGGGATTTCTCCAGTAAGATTATTGGTCCTGAGCAGAAGATGAGTGTAGTTTAAAAGATAGGAGGAAATGTTAGTCGGGATAACAGATGAGATGATATTGTTTGAGTAATCTATGAATTGGAACGACGTCGAGGGAAGAAAAATTGGTCCCCGAAGCGAGTTTGAATGGAGATCAAGAGCACCACCGATATCACCATGTTTCCAAGAGAGAATATGTGGGCCTTCGAAATGAGTGAATTTATTCATGGGGAGATTCAAATAATATCCCTCGTCTAATCCCCAAATCCATTCTGGTATTCCGCCGCCAATCTTGTTATCATAAAGGTCCAATTCTTAGAGTTCATGTTGATGTCTTAGAAAGGCAGGCACTTTGATGAGGTTGCATGAAGCCAAGTATAAATAATTAAGGCTGGGAAATGTGTCAGAATAATTAATGCCACTAACTTCTTGTACATATAATCGATTATTCCGAGAGAGGTAGAGGTCTGTTAAGTTCGGGAGGTTTCTTATCATGCCGAGCTCCACCGTTCCATTAAAGTCGTTTGATGATAGGTCGAGGTAGTGGAGGGCTGAGAGCTTAAACAAGGATGTTAGAATCTCTCCTTGAAGTTGATTATTACCCAGATCTAAATATATGAGATGAGTCAGATTTCCGATAAAAGTGGGGATCGGACCCGTGAAATTGTTGCTCGAGAGATCTAAATATTCGAGCAGGCTAAGATTTCCCGATGGAAGATGGCATCATCCCGGTCAGACCGCATTCAGAGATAAACAGACCAGTCAGGTGCTTGAGATTCGAAACAAAGTCTGGTATATTCCCGGATAAATTCGTCCCGGAGAAGGCCAAACTTTGCATAGCATTGTTGCTTGGAAAATCCGGAATATTCCCAGAAAGCATCGGATTCTAGGATAGGTCGAGAAGAGTCAGGTTGGTGTGTGATGTCAAGATGTCTGTCGGTAACAATCCTGCGACTCCAAATATACTAGATAATAAATAAGGAAATAATGGTTAAGTATATAAAACTCATTGGATAAAGAAGTAGGCTTACCTGGGAGATTACACCCCCTCAAACTGAGCACTTGAAGGTGAGGCATCGAGGTGGACAAAGCACTTCCCCAGTCTAGGTTCGAGGACATGTCGATGCCGTCGAGATCGAGCTCCCTCAGATTGCTAAGGTTTCCAACTAGAGTCCGGAAACTTAGATGGCGGAGTTGTACGTAATCGCCGCTGTAGTCGTGCTCGCTGAGGTAGTGGGTTGAGTAGACGTTGCTTAATAAGCTGAGGTCGAGGGAGATGAGGTCGGTTAAGCGAGAGATGCCGACGGGGATCTGACCACTGAATCCGGCAAGTGAGAGATTGAGACGGGTGAGTTGTGTAAGGTTCTCAAACCCCACTTGAGGAAAGTACCCTTGAAAGAAGTTGTAGGAGAGGTCGAGAGTTCGGAGGGAGATGAGATTGAAGAGGCTAGCACTGAGTTTGCCATTGATACCACGTTGACTGAGGCCGAGGCCGCTGACGTGGCCAGATTTGGGGTCGCAAGTGACTCCCTCCCAGTCGCAGCAGTTGGAGCCAGGTTTCCATGAAACCGGGGGGCCGCGAGCTTTGGGATAATCAGGTATTTCAATGCCCATGCCGAAGGAGACACCGTGTATTATGTCGAGGAGGCCGGAAGACCTCTCAGATGGGAGGCAGTACGTCGACGGTAGTATTGCTATGACGAGCAGCAGCGCATGCGGACGGGATCAGCAGCGACACTATTAGAAGTAGTATACAATGGACAGGTCGATCAGGTATTACAATGCCCATGCTAACTAATAATTAATTAATACTGATTCCAGGATCGGAGGGCAAATCCGTCATTCAAGCGGAGGGCTTCCATCGTGCAGACGGCGACCCCCAAGGTGAGAGCTTTATTTTTTGGGCGTACTTTAAACCTTGGGGTTTTGTTTGCTAAGGCCATTTAATGCAAATTCATCATCAGCATTTTTACTGGTAACATGTTTACATACGCAAGATCTGGAAAAACATCCTTTGATTAATGTTGCCTAGCCAAGCATCTGGGGAGTCGAAATCAGTTTATAGTTTCAGTTTTCTAAACTAACCGAGCTCTAATTTACGCTATTTTCAGCCCAGGAAAATTGATTGCCTACTGGGGAAAAGAAATGCTAGCCTGATGTAGTTTTCGACCTCTTGGTTAGTCCTTTCTCAGTCGGGGTTAAAGTTTACAGAGTGAGGATCAAACGAAGGCAAGAGAATGGCTTTTATCGTGACATCCCACCGACCCAAAGTTATAGTCCCACATAGGTGAGGGAATAGGATATTTAAAGGTTTATACAGTGAAGCTAAAGACTCAAGTGTAACATCGACTAGTCGATTTTGGCAGTGGTTTGAGCCAAATAGCACGTTACACTCGGTGGGTCCCACGGCTCGCACGCGCAAACGGGCCCGCGGACCCGGGGCGTGACATTTACAAGCTACTCCAGCAATAAAACAAAGGGGGATCACAGGGAGGCCATATCAAATGGACATGCTCAGGAAAAAGCCCTCGATGCTGTGCGAAAGAGCGGCGGGGAATGACTGGGCTCAGGAGTAGAGTCAACGTAGTGTGGAAAATGGGCAGATAGAGAAGGAAGGGCCAATATTCGTTTTTGGAGTTTTGAAAAGTAAGGTGATGTTAGCTCATGTGGTGTGTATGCCTCATTCAGATATTTTTTTTATTATTGGGGGCTCCTCCAAGTCAATAGTCCAACTATATTATATAAATTGAGTGGCTAAGATTAAGTTAATGATATGGTTAGTTGAAGGATACATAGTAAAATGTTTGTTTCTCCGATATAATTTAGTGGACACGCTAACGTGTTGGAAACGTTTGCAAGAGACAGCGTGGAGAAGACTTCCACGGACGACGACGACGAAGACTTGGAAACGTTTGCAAGTCTTCCACGGACGACGACTTGGAAATGCTAGTTGAATTATCGGGCATGAATTATCGGGCGTGTTGGAAACGTTTGCAAGTGACAGCGTGGAGAAGACTTCCACGGACGACGAAGACGAAGACTTGGAATTGAAGGCTTTAATTTCATTGGTTGTATGTACAAATTAATCCTATCCATTCATTATGCGTGTTATAATAAAATGAAGACTACAAGGGAAGATATTTTTATAAAAAAAAACTATATACGTTCTGTGATATATACAAAATTAGCCATGACCTACCAATCTTTACTCGAATGATTGTGCAAAAAAAAAATTACTTAGTATGCATATGATGAAAATCCTTTCTTATTAGTCACAAAACTACCCTTTAATTTAGTAAAAAGTCCATGGCGTTATCTTAGCATCGATGGTGCTAATTTGAAGATTAAATTAAAGTTTAAGTAAGAATTTTTTAAATAAAATTTAGTGAAATAAAACAGTTCATGGATGTTATGTGCAACTCTCCAAAGTTCATAGGGGTTTGATGTCACAAAAAAATTTAATGGGGGCTTATTGCAACTCCCTAAAGATGATGAGGGTTTTCTGTAACTAACCCTTAAATAACGTTAGGTGCGTGATTTGTATTTGTAGAACTATACACAATATTGCTACACCTATGTAGTTATCTCTGAGATTATTTAGCACCTAACTAGGAGCTACCAGTTAATACCAATATTGCTACACCTATGTAGTTATCTCTGAGATTATTTAGCACCTAACTAGGAGCTACCAGTTAATAATGTGACTAATAATTTCCATAAATAATCTCTGAGATTATTTAGCACCTAACTAGGAGCTACCAGTTAATAATGTGACTAATAATTTCCATAAATAACGATTGTATATGACATTTGGATATCCATGTCATGTATACAGAGACAAATACAAATATATTTAGTACGGAAAAACTCATTCATATCCTTCAAGATGAGATATAAACATGAGAATTCAGAATAGAACCTGCTACCAAATTGCATCCCCTGACTCGATGCAATAACCCCTAACACGATGCAATAACTCTGCAAGAGATACGGTGGAAAAGATTTTCACATGCAATGAGTTGATAGACTTCTTCATTGAAAATGAATGGTTGTACATAGGCAATACTATTCGTTTTTGGAGTTTTGAAGGTTGGTTGAAGGATACCTAGTAAAATGCTTGTTTTTCCAATATAATTTAATGGACACACTGACGTGTTGTAAACGTTTGCAAGAGACAGCGTGGAGAAGACTTCCATGGACGGCGACAACGACGAAGACTTGGAAGACTTTAATTTCAATGGTTGTACATACAAATCATGTTCATTCATTATGCATGTTATAATAAAATGAAAACTATTGAGTGGCTAAAATTAAGTTAATGATATGGTTGGTTGAAGGATACCTAGTAAAATGCTTGTTTTTCCATATAATTTAATGGACACACTGACGTGTTGGAAACGTTTGCAAGAGACAGCGTGGAGAAGACTTCCATGGACGACGACAACGACGAAGACTTGGAAGGCTTTAATTTCAATGGTTGTACATACAAATCATGTTCATTCATTATGCATGTTATAATAAAATGAAAACTACAAGGGAAGATACTTAAACAAAAAACTATATACATTTGTGTCATATACACACAAATACCATGATCAGCCAATCTTTACTCAAATGATTGTACTACAAATATTTTGCATTCGTTATGCATCCAATCAAGGCTTTCTGGTTTTTTCTGGAGCCGGATTTACCTGAAGAATATGAATTTAAAATTAAATATTTGCAAAGCTGCATCTACACTGAGGTGGAATAAGTTTGCAAGTGACAAGATGGAGAAGAACTTCCTTAGGCCCCATGAATTGTTTTTCCTCCTGATGACCATCCCATAATATAATTGAATGGCTACGATTAAATTAACTATGCGATCAATTTAAATATTCTTATTGATAAATCATATGCTTGTTTTTCACAATATAGTTTAACAAATGCAAATGCAGCGATGTTAGTTCTGCAAGCAGATAAAATGAGGATTGCACATGACATTTAGATATTCACATCACAATATCTATACTTATACTTTTCTCAATAAAAAATATCTATACTTGTACACCTTCATCCGTAATTCACCAGAGAATACCTTTCACAACATCTCAAGGACACACACAGCAAATAAAAAGTAAAACTATTGGATGCGGTAAAAAGGGTAAAATTATTAGATATTAGAATACAGTAACACAAGGCGTCATTAATAAGAAAACTAGGTATTTAAGCTAATTTAAACAAAAAAAAAACCTGCACTATTATTAATCTCGGTTACACAAACTAAAATTACACAGCAACTTATAACGTTCATAGGCTGCTTTGCGCAAAGAGGGTTCAAACTGATACTTTACCTCTGTTGTACATGAATCAATTTGAGAGTCATTGATCTATTAGGTATGTCTATCTAAGAACTTCTCAATTAGAACTGAGAATGTAGCAAAGCCAGCGCATCCGACACATGCAGCCTTCGGGCCACCTACAAAGGAAATAACCATATAATGGATTGGTGACATGTAAAATCCACATATAACAAATGCACTAATTTATTCAGAAAAAGGGTACATTTCAATTTATCGTAAATCAGATATTTCCGTGTTTAACAGTAAATGTATTTATACAAATTAAACATCATCAATGAAGAAAATTCAAAGTTCACTTATGACCTAGATGACCTGGCGCAAAAAAGTTTAAGGTTAACTGCAGAAACAGCCCTTTTACGTACTATGACAGTATAACCGCTTATATCCTCTAATCCTTTTTATTAGCACTTGCATCACGCGAACTCAGAAGACATATGCTCTCTTGCCCTCAATTTATAGAGCAATTCAGTATCTTTTCAGTTAAACTGAAGCAAGAGATAATTCATCATAGTATTCCCACATGAAAACTACTAAATTGGGAAATGATGCCATATCGAGAAAATGAGGCCTACGTGATCGCGCATTTGTGATTAACCTTCACATTATGATTTTGTTTTCATCCAACAGAAGTTCATAACAAAGGATTAAATGGTTAAGTATACTTATCCCTCCTTATCCTACAATGAACAAATCTAAGATAATTACGCAAAAAGATGTGCTGCATGCAAGGATATATTCAAGTTTCTGACATCACTGTTTACAAGTATAGGTAAGGCATGAAGTTGAGAATAAATGCAGTTCATTTTCCAAAATCCAGTGTTGAATTGTAAATAAAAAATAGTGTTAATTGCGAATAGACCACTGCACTATCACCCGATTGTGGATGGAACCTCTGCAATTCTATTCATGCTGATTAGACCCCTTGAGTGAAAATTTTGTTACTCTTTTACCTTAGAAAGAGATTTCTTTTCTCTTTTATTTTTTGACAATCGACCTCCTGAGGTTAAAAGAGTCAAAAGATCACTAAGGGAGTCTATCTGCGACTATAGAACTACAAGGGGTCCATCTGCATTCAGTCAGTCACAGAGGCAGGAATTTCGCCAAGACGGGTCCAAAAATTAATAATCAAACCCAATAACACAAATATTTTGCGCATCTGATTAGTATTTAAACATCATTACATAAAAAGACTGTCAAAATCAAAATTCAAGTTAAAATATAGTATTGCAATAATATTATTCTTGCTTTCAGTTCTTGAAACCATTTCATTACATCTTGTTCATCAATGCTACAAAATATTTCATATAAGTTGCCAACAATCATTCATATAAACGTCTCTCATTCGGTTTCCAAGTCATTATTAACAATTTCGATTGCTGAAAATGCTCTTTCAACGATTGTTGTTGAAACAAGCAAGATTAGTGCCAATTTCTTCAACTTGAACAGTGAAGGTTATAAAATCATGATGAGTAGCGACATGATAGATATAGTTAATCTATTTCTAGAAAAAAAATGTAGGATAAAAATTGACCAATCAAATCAGTTTTTCTTTATCAAACAAAGAGAAGAATTACGTGGTTCAACACATGTCACTGAAAAAAGAAAGTCCATACTACGATTATCAAAATGGTTGCTCAACTCTTGAGGTAAAAATCTATAGACGCATTGAACAATTCACTTTATAGTGATGGAAATTTGTAAGCATTTGAACCCATGCTTTGGTCCACCGACCAGAAGATCATGTTCTATATTCAGGATCGAGAAAGCGAAAGCTATGAGAAAGTTTAAAGATAGATATTATTACATTTTACTCTCTATAATTTTATTAACTATCAAGCACCCCTATTCATGCAATATTTCATTTGTCAAGTAGGGTCCACTGCCGTTTTGGCCCCTTAGTAACTTCGCCCATGACCGCAATTAACCCTAAAAAACAAGGTGTCACCAACATTGTAGATTGCCCCAATTTTTCTCTATAACACATGAATTTTCAAAGTATAAAAGAGTTAAGGAGGTTGGAAGTCCTGATGTTTGTAATCTTATGGTTTGTGAATTGTAAGGCTTACTCCAATGTTCAAGAAACTCTAATGTCACTTAGTATCAGAACAAAAACATGATACTTATAGTTAATATGGGATAATATCTAAAGCCTGTGGTGATATGAGAAGAGGTTTTGACAAATATAACATGTCTTAAAAAAAAGTACTTATCTGGATCATTTAGACTGTGGTAAAAGCCTTTAGAACAGCTACACATGTAAATCAAGTGTTTTGAGAACTTCTTGCTAGGAAAACATGACATAACAAAGGCGAAACATTTATATCATGATAACTAATCAAATTTGATAAAGGAAAAGTTTAGAATTACCTCAATCGATATTCCAAAATATCCATCAAAATCCCAAGATCTTGTCTTGAAAGCTTCCTAAAAAAAAAAGACTTCAATCGGATCCACCCGTCACGGTGAGGATGCAATACAAAAGAGATAGGATCCTTTAATTTTTTAAAACTTAAAGTTTCATAGAAAGAACGTTTATGGGTTCAAATAGTACTCAAAGTTTTCTACTTATTTTATTGTGTTTTGCTCTATCCATTTGCCCTTCTATTTATAGGCAAAGGCAACCACTTAAGTTCTCATTCTTTTCTATGTGGGAGTATTCCCAAATGAGAACAAGCGTCAAGCTAAGAGAGAAGTATCAAAACAAAGAATATTTGTCATAACAAGCATGACGAATTTTACATTAAAACCATCTTGAGTTCTTATTTTTCATATTTTTATAAATAGAAATATTTGTAAGGCAGTTAATCCTCTCAAATGACATTGGTGAAACTGATTGAATTCTCATATTGAAAGCCAATTATTTTACAAGTGCTATATAAAACCGGAAATAGTGGATTGCTAAATTTCATTTAGGAAAACAATGGATATCTATAGAGGATCCAGTATACTCATTATGATGAGTATAATTTATCATGCATATCTCATGCAGTTGTAAAACCCTATTGACAGGTGGTTTTAAAGATATTTTCAGATTTTATTTATTTATTATATATTTATAATTTTGAAATGAATTTTGTTCATGAGAATTGTTATTTTAGGCATGAGTAAATAGGTCAATTCTCCTGCTCAATTAAATTGTCTAAAAGAAAATAAATTGATACTCGTGGGAAGTGAATGTAAGATAATATTCTTTAAATATTTATTCTAATATTATGGAAGAGCTTTTATGAACAGTTGGTTGGATAGTGACTTGACTATTAAATAAAAATTGTTAATTAAAAATAATTGGCTTTCAATACGAGAATCTAATCGGTCTCACAAATGTCATTTGAGAGGATTAAATGCAATACAAATATTTCCATTTGTAGAAATATGAAAAATAAGAACAAGAGGGTTTTAATGTAATATTCCTTAAATTTGTCATGACAAATGTCCTTCGTTTTGACAATGGTCTTTTAGCTTGACACTTTTTCTCATTTGGGAATAGTCTCACATAGAAAAGAATGAGAACACGAGGGATTGCCCTTGCCTATAATAGAATGGCAAATGGAAAGAGCAAAACACGGGAAAATGAGTAGAAAAATTTGAACAGTACTTGACCCCATAAATGTTGGTTTGAGAAAATTTAAAAATAAAAGAATCATATCTTTTTCGTATGTGCATCCTCATGGTGACAGGTGGATTCGATTGGAGGCTTTTTCTCTTGAGAAAGCTTTCAAGAAAAGATCTTGGTATTTCAATGAAGATTTCGGAATAACGACTAATAAACTTCTCCTTTATCTAATATGATTAGTTATCAAGATATAAATGCTCCGCTTTTTCATATCTAATTTCCTAACAATTTTAATTTAAAAGTCAAGTCCCTACCAACCAACCGTTTATAAAAGTTACTCCATAATATGAGAATAAATATTTAAAAAATATTATCTTACATCTAGTCACCTCTAGTGTCAATTTATTCTTTTAGACAATGTAATTGAGCAGGATAATTCACCTATTTGCTCATATCTAAAATAACAATTCCCGTGAAGAAAAAATCATTTCAAAATTATCAATATATAATAAATAAATAGATTCTGAAAATATTTTCAAAACCACCTATCGACGGGGATTCACGGCTTTATGGGATATGTATAATAAATTATACTCATCATAATGAGTATATTGGATCCTCTATAAATATCCATCATTTTCCTAAATGAAATTTAGTAACCTAATATTTTAGATTTTGTAGCACTTGTAAAACAAGTTTAACCATCAGATCAAATCATGCTAAATAAACAAATTGAAAATGACTATATCATCAAGTCTAAAGGACCATGTAACAACTTGTATTCTCCATCTCTTAGGTGACAATTCTTAGAGAATTCAAATGCGGTCTAGTGCTACACGCATCACAACATGAGCTTATGACATACGCCTGGGCTCTCACCACATCTCACATATAGATGTTATGCATAATAACAAGGTTATAACATAGTTATCATTTACTAGTTATAGGCTAAGCACATGTTTAAGAAATCTCTAAATCACATCTCTAAACGAGTGACCATCACAGTGCATGATCTAGCCATACAATTTCCAAGGATAATATAATAATTATATAAATAATATCCAAAGAATAAGCGCAACCATAAAACCTTTATTAACATTCAAAAAAATATTATGTTAAGTTCTATTGGATCTGCATACCATACTACACTAGCACTGCTACCTCATGGATCCGGATAATTTTGTGGTCTATTATCAGAAACTGTTCATATTTTAACTATTTGTTGATGGAGAAAAGGTCTTCATAATGCATCGTTTTTCTCATAAAGCTTTCCAAACATGTTAACTATTTGTTGATGGAGAAAAGGTCTTCATAATGCATCGTTTTTCTCATAAAGCTTTCCAAACATGTGATCAAAGAGCATAGGTTGGCTCATTCAATTTCATTGCATAACATGGACTACGATATTTGGACATAAGTAAGTTTTCCTATGCATTGGGAGCAAATCAAACAAGGCTTGATTGTTATGTGACGCAGGTGGATAATACTCATTCACAACTTTACAACACTCCATATACATATAATGTAATATGATATCCTTAAAGTTGCTTATATATTCTTGTTACCCAATCAATCATAAATTCTTTTATAAAGACAGTTACCTCTAGCGGACATAGCTCCTCCTGTGACACAACCAGCAACAAATGTATTTGTCATATCATGTTTTGCACGTGCCTGAAGCAAACACACCCATAAAAAATGAAGACGGAATCTAGACAGAAAAGCACTTCAGTAGAGTTCTTTTTTTCCCTTAAAAGTCTTGCTTACCTTCTCGACAATGCATTCAGCAGCTGAGAATGTGAGGCCCATAATTGCAAAAGCCTTGGCAGAACCCCAGCTTCTTCTTCCCATCTGCTTTGCAGTGTATATAAATTGCTGCTTTGCACTCATTTCCTCTTGCATCAAAGGATTATCCAGAGCCCCAAGAAATAGACCCATAAACAAACCAAGTCCACCTCCTAGAAAACCCACACAACGTGTAATTTAGTACAGGAAGCCAAAGAACACTTTGTGGTAGAAATCCGAAGAGAAACTACCTTCTTCAGTAAAAAGAAAATTCCTCAAGACACTAAAATATCTAAGAGTGAAATAAACTTGGCAGTGAAAAACTAGTTTTTTGATATTTCAGGATGTACTACACAAAATAGAAAAGATTACTGAAAGTTGACTGGTTGACAATCACTCAGACAATCATTTGAAACAGCTTGCTTAGAAATAAGATGGTAAACTCTCCATAGCGAAGGAGAAAACAATAAGAATACCATAGAAAGAACTAAACCTAAAGAAAACATCTGTTGATAGCCTGCACAAGAGAGAACTAAATTTTCTACAATGTGATAGAAATGGATAAAGAGAGATCAGAAACGACTAAAATAAATAAATAAATATGGGATACTAAGGAACTTAAGCAATTCTCTCAATAAAGTTCCAATTCCCTGCAGAACTAAAACATCCTAGATTTGATGAGGAATGAGATTGTAAAGTCCACCCTCATACTCCATCTCAAACAAACATTTCATTTATCCAAAACTTCCCGGGATAACCATTCAAATACTAGCAAAGTTCCTCAACTAATTTTTTGCATAAATTCTCACACTTTCTCAAATCAAGCACAATTTCGTATTTTTGTGGTCAATATCTCAAACATATCCAGATATCATGAAACAAAGGTCATAAAGCACTAAGTAATCTGAATCTAAATCTTCTAATAAACTAAACCCAGATAATGCCCAATAATCAAAACGCAGCCTTTACTTATTATTATTATTTTTTTATAAAAAACTATTCTCTAAACAAACACTAAACTCAAATAGCATACTTCTTAAATGAAGGCTCAACTGAACAACAAAATTTAGATGTTTTTCTCAATAAATAACTTCTAAATTAAGAGGTATTTTTCTTTATCTTTTTTTTTTTTGAACTAATGTCTGAAAATTGGAGAAAATAAAAAATACCCATGACTCCACTAACGACGCTTCTAACAGCGCAATTGTTCCAAATGTCTTGGCCTCGGATCTCTTCCATCGTCGGCATCCTTATGGGCTCCACCGCCGTCTTCTCCGCTTCATTTGGGGCCTCTTTGGGATCCGAAACTGAGTCCGCCATTGACGACTAAGCTCCGAATTATGAAGATGCAGGTGTAAATTGAAGAGGAGAGATTGATAGATGGACTTATTTGCAATAACTTATTAATTTTTCACCCCTTCTTCAAGCAAAGAGGGGGGTGGACTTGGGGTTTTGTGGAGGCTTTAGGTTTCGCAAATGGGTCGGGTGCGGCTTTTGCCTAGATCCCAATTTTACGAACTAGTATTTGATTCGAGCCTAATTAGCACTTAAATACCTCATAGTTTCCCCTACCTTGCACTTATCTACCTCCACAGTTTCTGAAATCTGCTCTTTAATATTTTCTGTTATGCAAATGAGATAATTTTTTCTTAATTTTCTCATGTGACACTCGCAAGTTGATCTGAGGACTTTTTGGTGGGACTTAAAGTTTTGTTACTTCATTGTTAAACCCGCGATAATCATTGGGTAGGTTTAAAATATAGTCAGGGTGGTTTTGACATTAGATTCAACCCCCCAAAAAAAATTTAGAGTCAAAAGTTCTCAAATTAACTTATGACAGTCTTCTCGCATGGGAAAAGTCGGGATTTTTTTCATAGCTTTCATATCATATGGTCCTAAAATGCGATTTTATAAATTTTAAGGTATATAACTGTTGCCCAAAGCAAGTGAGGATATATAAGTGCAAAGTAGGATCAGGTACTTAAGTGAGGATATATAATTGATGCTAATTTTATAAATTTTTATAAAAAAAATTTTGGTCTCCATTTTTATTTGATTAATTAATATATCTACAATATTTAATTAAAATGATTTTTTTGTTGGGTTAATGTGGTTTTCTTTTTCTTTTTTTTTAGAATTTGAAGTATCATTTGAGCATAATTGAAAATTATTCCTTGGTATTTATCATAAAAATCTGAAATTTAGATTTTGGGTAAAAAGTCAATTAAGAAATTTCAACTATCTCAAAATTAGTATACAACCTAAACTAATGATATTTAAGAAGCGTCAAAAATCGTGTTGTAATAAGAACTAAGTTTACATCGGATAATAATATGTAAATGCTCATATGAGATTCGCTTAATGTTTGAATGCTAAAAATTCAAATATTTCGATCATTATTCATCAATGAATAGTTAGATGAATAAATAATGATCGAAATATTTGATGATCGTTTGGTCTATCTTCCACCCAAAATTGCTAATGATAAGTTCTTATAGCCTGATCTCTAAAAACTTTTCTCACCTCCACCTCTAGACAAGTAGACAAGCAATCAATAAGCTATCAATGACATTGTTATTTTCTTTTCTTAAAAAGAATGTCCTTTTGAATAAATATTTTAACACAAATGATATTCTTTAATATCTTGGCCACACCATTCTCTTCCACCACATAATGTCCTTTTAAGATCTTTTTTTTACTTGTATCTGACTGTATTTTCCTCTTCGTATACATTCACACATGACCAATTTCCAAACAGAAGTAAATGAAAACTACAAGGGAAGATATTTTTATAAAAAAAACTATATGCGTTCTGTTATATATACAAAAGCCATGACCGACCAATCTTTACTCGAATGATTGTGCAAAAAAAAAAGTTACTTTGCACTTGTTACGCATCCTGTTGAGATATGCAATTTGTAGAAAGATATGGGCTTTGATGTAATATGTAACACCTTATATAGCCCAAGGGGTCAATGAAAGAAAAAATGCTGATTTTATTTCTCTCCCAAAATTCTATTTGGTATCAGAGCTTTCTAACACTAACCCTAACCCTAGAGCCGCCTTCACCCATCTGGCCACCACCTCCGCCGGGACAGCGCCGGCGACCTGAGGATGCCCTAGTCCGGGGCGCCTCCGCCCTCCACGCTCGAGATCGAGTCCGCCTCTCCGCCGCCCGCCGCCATCAGTTCGCCGCCATCAGTTCCCGCCACCATCAGTTCCCTCTGTCGCCGCCGTCTCCGAGTCCTCGCCGAGTCCGAGTCGCCGAGTCCTCGTCAGCGAGTCCTCGTCAGTGAGTCCTCTTGATCAGGTTCTGTTTTGTTTTAAGTATTGATAAAAAAAAAAATTCAATCCTTAAAGGCTGAAGTTTCTTGAGAGGAGCATGAGGTGGTGGAGAATCACTATGGTGAACGGATCTCTCCTCACAAGTCAGGTGCCGCTCAAGTTTGGACTTGTCTCGCACCTTTGAGAAGAGATCTGACTCCGTAGATAGCATTTCTGAGGCTCCTGTGTCATCTCCGTGAATAGAATTGAACTGGAGTGGAAAGTTAAAAGAAGTCTGAGCTTGTTTAGATAAATGACTGGACACTGAGAGCCTAAAGTTCAGGTAATTTGGTTCATTTTACAATCATCTGTCCGACCAAGGTTCGTGATCGGAGTCGGATCGATGACGACGGAGAAGGAGGAGGGGAGTGGCAGCACTAATCCACTAGCCGAGGTGATGTCAAAGCTGAATCCTGATGATGTAATGGTTCTGATGCGAGCATTCAAGATGTCAGCGAGTGAGAGCAAGCCGAAACAGAAGGTTGAGTTGCCACCGATCGATATGAAACTCGAGGGTCCAGCCACTTATCTAAGCTGGTCGCGTCGAGTGAGATACACTCTGGAAGGGAAGGGTCTGGAGGGGTACCTGACTGGAGAGAAGGAGGAGCCGGGTCAGAATGCACCTGAGAGAGCTGAGTGGAAGTTGACTCACATGCACGTATATATCTGGCTCCTGAACTCACTGACTTCGCCTATTGCGTCCACAGTGGATGGCATAGCGAAGGTGCAGGATGTCTGGGAGAAGCTGAAGAGGACCTACGATGGTGTTGGGAATAACCTGCGGGTGTACCAGATCAAGAGGGAGATCTCGGCTTTGGTACAGGGGGAGAGGACTGTGCAAGAGTATGCCATAGAGCTGGATCGCTTATGGCTGGATCAGGGCCACTTCAGGGTCCGACGACGATGCTGCACTGACCCTGTGTGTTCTGAGATTGAAATGGAGGACAGTGTTATGGTGTTCCTCCAGGGCCTGGCCCCGGTGTTTGAGCAGAGGGTTGCTATGCTACTGGCTCAGACGAGGATTCCCTCACTTGAGGAAGCGGTCTCAGACATGATACAGGAGGAGAGCCGGATTTGAAGTCAGCACTTGCAGTCTCCAACTCAGGTACCACAGGGTACAGGGGCGAGACCCGACAGTGCTACAACTGTGGTGAGGTAGGTCACCTGAAGCAAGCTTGCCCTAAGCTACCAAAGGAGCGAGATACAGGTGGAAGGGGGCATGCTGGGGGTCGTGGTCGAGGCAGAGCTGGTAGGAGAGGTGGAAGAGGAGGCTACCAAGCACATCTGATGGTAGCAGAGGGAGAGAGTGAGGAGCCTGTGGTCTTTACCGAAGAGGATCATGAGTTTTTGGAGGCATTGAAGAGGAAGCAGAAAGCAGCAGGTGAGGGGAAGAGTGGGGTAGATGATGCATCCACCTCGTCTTCATCCAGGGGTAACTTTGCTTCCTTTGCTCGCTCAGCCACAGGTACTTGTGATACACTTGCTCTTGCCTCTATATCCACCACTAGATCACCAGATTGGATAGTCGATTCTGGTGCATCTCGTCATGTGACTGGTGCTGCTAGGGAGTTTTCTTCATATACTCACCTAGCAGTACCAGAGAGCATTCAGACAGCTGACGGTACGGCCCAGCCTGTGGTTGGTAAGGGCACAGTAAAATGTACCAGCACTTTGACTTTGTCTAATGTCTTGCATGCTCCTTTTCCTATAAATCTCTTATCCATAAGTGCCATTATATCACAACTAAAATGTGTCGTTTTGTTTGATATTCCTAAGGTGATCTTCCAAGAGAAGGGGACAGGCAGGCAACTTGGGACTGGCACATGGCATAGTGGCTTGTGGTACCTAAATAGAGAGGGTATGGACTTGGCCCTCTCATCTATTGTGGAGGGAGCTGGAGGAGTTGGGAGGAGTGTGGAGGACTTGTTGCTGCTCCATCATAGGCGCTTGGGTCATCCTTCTTTTCCGGTTTTGAGTAGGTTGTATCCGTCTTTGTTTGAAAAGGCGAATAAGGAAAAACTCGTGTGTGATGCGTGTGAGTTGGGAAAACACACCAGGAGCTCTTATGTTAGTTCTGGTAGTAGGAGTTCTAGTGTTTTTGATTTGATTCACTCTGATGTATGGGGGCCTTGTCCCACAACTGCTGTGAATGGATTTAGATACTTTGTCTCTTTTATTGATTGTTTTTCTCGTGTGACGTGGCTTTATTTGATGAAAAACAAAAGTGATGTGTTTGCTTGCTTCAAGGACTTTCATAAAGGTGTTCAGACTCAATATGATGCAGTTGTGAAAGTATTAAGGTCTGACAATGGGACAGAGTACACCAACCGGGCGTTTGGGGAATACTTGTCATCTCAGGGGATACAGCATCAAACCACATGTACATACATACCAGAGCAGAATGGAGTAGCAGAGAGAAAGAACAGGCATCTCCTTGAGGTGACTCGGAGTATGATGATTTCGATGAAAGTCCCAAAGTACTTGTGGGGACAAGCAGTTCTGACAGCTGCCTATTTGATCAACCGGATGCCATCACGAGTGTTAGACTGGAAGTCTCCGATTGAAATGTTGAAAGGTAAGAATGGAGATATTCTTCCTCTCAAAAACTTTGGGTGTGTGTGCTTCGTGCAGGACAACAGACCAAATGTGGGAAAACTAGATCTGAGGGCTGTGAAGTGTATCTTTGTGGGGTACTCGGCTACTCAAAAGGGGTATGTATGCTGGAGTCCTGTGGAGAGGAGACTGTTTGTGAGTATGGATGTTACATTTCGAGAGTTCGAACCATACTACTCAGAGGTTACATCACCCTTTGGAGACTCGCCCGATACAGAAGATACGAGGCGAGAGAGGGAGCATAGTAGTGATGGTGAGAGGAGGATGGTGAGTGTGGGTAGTATTCCTTGCCCATTTGAGATTTCGGCTGTGGTTGAGCTGGAAAAGGAGGAATCGGCTAGGGTTGAGCCGGAAGCTGAGAGGAATGAGCTCGAAGGTGGTAGAACTCTGACTCAGGGGGAGTCGAGATACCGTGAGGTGTATGTGAGGAGAAACAAGCAGATTGAGGGAGCCGTGCCTATAGTGCCACCAGTGCCAAGTCCTTTGTCCCTGCCTTCTCCGACTCTTGAGACACCTACACCAT